TCAGCAGGCATCAATTATTCTTTACTCATTAACCAGCCTGAAGAGATGCAGAGTTGGGACAAAAAATTCTACCCTGCGTGTAAGACCTTGCGCCTTCCCCCCACCCTCCACACACCGGCCACACATTTCTTCCAAACTGGGCCCAAATCTTGGGAAAATCGAGCAAGCAACCCGGGTGGGCAGAAATAAAGTCATCTCGAGGACCAGATGCGATCCAGAGGAACATTTATGGAAGGGGTGGTCTACTGGGGGGTTTCAGTGACCCATCAAAGTCGCAGGTTCTGATATTCCAGGGAATTTCCGTTGCCCTTTTTTCAAGTTGAGCCGCAAGGTCAGTCTGATGCTGGACCACAGGTTGAGACGCGCTCGGACAAGCTTCGTTTCCTCTGGCAGCCGCGCTGGGAAAAGTGGCCTTTACAGAAATATATCAGCCCCAAACCAAATTACAAAGGGGAAACAAAGGCAGGCCCCAGAAAGGCTGCACGCTCCCCGCCTTGAGTCTGCAGGAAAGAGCTGCAAAACGCAGCGGTGCCGGATGACCGCCAAAGCCTGCTTGGCGAAAGGAGCCAGCTGCGCGAAGCCCACCCCGATGCCCACAGGCATTTGTCTCAGGACCAGAGGGAAGCATCTTAAAAGAGCATGAATTCGGCCCAGGCCAGGAGAAAAAAAGAGAGAGAGAGAGAGAGAGAGAGAAAAGGAGCATCTCTCTCTGTATGCATTCAGACAAGCAAAGAAGTAAGGCTCCAAGGTTGCTTGCAGGAGCCAATCACGGTTTAGCCTCCCCTGTTTGGGTGGTCGGTGGACGGCTGACCTGCGACGCGTGAGCAGGGAAATGGGGGGGGGTGCACTTTAAATCCAGGGGAACCGAACCCAAGCAGGCCTCGTTCCCACAACCGCGAAGCACGCAACAGCTCCGTGCCACCAACTGCGACCCACCCCACCCCTCCAGCCTCGCTGGCCCAGCCTTGCAGGTTGCATTAAGGCAGATCCTGTATCATGGGTGCGCGGGGGGGGGGGATATTCCGGATCGGGCCCGGGCAGCCGATCGATTTATTTTTACGCCTGGGATTACAGTCGCCCTTTCTCCAGCACCCGGGCGAAGCAGCCC